TGGCCTTGTCTAAACCGAGGTCGCTGCCTGGGCTGCGCAGATGCACCGGGGTGGCACTGGTCCAGACTAAGGTGACCCCCAGCCCTGCGCCGGGAGGAGGCTGGGGCAGCTCGGGCAGGAGACCCCTGCCCCTGCCTGGCGGCCTTGCAGCCCGCAAGCTGGAAGAGGAGTCTCGGAAAATAAACACAAAGAAGTTCAGGGTGTGTGATGCTTAATGAGGAGCTACTGCTTGCTGGCTTCGCCCACTGAACGTTACTGGAGCTGTTCAGGAGTCGCCCGTCTGGCTTGGCAGGAGGTTGCAGCCCCCCCATCTATTGCCCAGGGCTGTGGGGCCCCCACCCAGCTGCCCCCCCCCCCCCCCCCCCCCCCCCCCCCCCCCCCCCCCCCCGGCCTGAGCGAGATGGGGAAGCGTCTGGGGCTGCCTGTGATTGTTGAGCCATCTAGTCAAGTGGAGGCTGTGCTTCAGGCGTTCCTGGTGTTTTTTCTCAAATTGTTAAATTGTTTATTGAGTCAGTGCCTTTATCTCTCACTTGAATTTAATAGTGTTCCTTAGTACCGAGTGTTCCGCACTGTGGGCTTGTTGCTCCTCCTTCACACCTTGTCTGTCTCAGATTGCTTTGCAGCCCCAGCACCTCAGAGGGCATTGGGAGGAAGGCACATAACATTTCTCAGAGCAGCAGATGCAGAGGTTTTAGTAATAACAAACCCACTTGTAGCAGAGATGGCAGGAAGTGTGAGTAACGCTGGGAACGCGCTGCTATTGCTGGAGTGTTTTTGTAGCGGAGCCTCTTGTGAGGGAATTGCATCTGATATTTTGTAGTGCTTCCTGAATCACTTCCAGCATCTTGTGATCTGTCTCCACAGGCAGCTCTTTATCCTCAGTCCACTCAGGCTGCGAGAGTGTCGAGGAAACCAGAATGGTTATCATGGAGATGCTGCTGAGATGAGGAATGACACAGATACGGCCCAAGGCACGTGGCTGTTGCAAATCTCTGGGGTTCGCTCTGCTGTGGGGTGTTATGGACTTGTGTGGCTTGCTGTAGGACAACACATCACTAGGAACACACGTCAGTAAAAGCCAGCAAGGGTCTAGACTGGAGTGATATGCTGGTGATGCTGGGAGAGAGGCAGTAAGAAAGGCTAGCCTGGATTTCTGAAGTCCTTACTTACGTGTGTTTCCATACAGAACCCCACCATGTCCCCCTTCTTACTTGAAATACCAGATTCACTTCTTCCTAACAATACTAAAGACCCTTTTATCCTCAGCTCTGTCTAGACGGGGACATGCAGGTCGGTGGTAGCTCCTGGTGGCTAACCTCACTAAACCAAACTAGACCAGCTAAGGCAGCGGGCTCGTAGTGTGCCGACTGAAGGGCGTTGATGCTGGCCTGATGGTGTCCCACCCTTTTACACCTTAGTGCAGGGAGGAGCCTGTGCTGCTGCGGGGGGAGTTGTGCGCTTCAGCACCTCTTTCTCTTGGCCCCCCTCGCTCGACTCGCTGCTGAGAAGTGAGCTTGGCCTTGCTGCGACCTGCGCTGCCTTTGGAGCCCTCCTCCCTCGGTGGTGGTGCTGGACACTGTCCCCTTGGCGTGCCGAGCGGGGTGCAGGAGGGCATGGGCGGGGTGCATAGGGACGTTAAAAGGCAAGTGTGTCACGGTGGAGGTGTGGATAGCAGTTGTAGAGAAAAGATGTAGTGAGAGAAGCACTTAAGGCCAGACTGAAATCTCTGCTTCACACTTCGGTGATGGATTTTCAGTTTGGAACTTGACACAGTAATTTAAGGGCTAAATTTAATTTACAGTGTAATTTTTTTGAACAAAGATAATGTTTGCAAAGGAAATCTCCACATGCATCTCTTAAATTCTTCCCTGTACCGTTGTCTGGGTGAATATAGCTAAACACAGCTGCTGTGAATATCAGCTTTCCTTGCTATGGGTGCTTTGGTCATTTTGGAGTACTTGTTTTTCCTAATTCTAGATAACCCGCTGAATCCTGTCGGCAACGGCTGGCTGTTAGCTGGGACCGTGGGCTGGAGTCATGGTGGCACAGGGCTATAAGGGTGAGGGGCTCCACCGCCCCTGCTCGAGGCAGCGCTCCTGGAGACGCGCTGCCCGGCCCTGCTGGCATCCAACAGCGAGGGGCTGCCCTGCGAGCGCCCAGAATAAGCGAATGCCCGGGGCTCTGCTCAAGAAACTAGTGTTCTGCAAATCTAACGGGAGGAGTAGAAGACCGGGAATTGTAATCAGGTTGGTGGGCCTGGGAGCCTGTGCAGTGGTGCGAAGGCGAGCTCTGGTTACGAGAGTGTCTGGGGCCTGGGCCAGTCCGTGTTGGCCGGTGGGCGACAAGCTTATGCCTCCAGGTGCGCCTCGGGGCTGGTGGGTTTCTAGCACAGTTAAATTGGGTGTCTCTAGGTTGTGCTTCAGATTTTTCTCCCCAGTAAATTGGCTTGTAGCAGTGTCTCAAGCTCACGTTACGTTGAGCACCGAGCAGGGCTTTGCTGGGCTCGCACCTATGTGGTGCAGAGGCGAGCATTTGCTGTGGGCTACTCACTTGTTTAAAACTGCGTTTATGCATTTTACGTGGGAGGGTGCTGGTCCCTGTGCAGGCAGTAAATCTGTTGTCAGAGGGCTTGCACATATGTAATGAGAGCAGATTATTTCTGTTTTCCCTTACTTTGCTGCCTTGAGGCAAGTGGACAGATTAGAGAGGATAGAGAGTGCGTGTGTTTATCAGTCCTTTCCTGTCTTTTTCATCACCCCCCTCTTCTGGTGACCCCATTTTCTAGAGGGATAAAGCAAGCAGCCCAACCTCATTTCTCAAATCTGTTGCAAAGTCTGATTGGAGAAATGGAGGAGCTCTGGTACGAGTCTGCTGCAGCGTCACTGCGTGGTTCTTGCCCTGCAGGTACAGTCTGGTCTGTGCTGATGCCGCAGCCCCTTTTTGGAGACGCTGCTCAAGCAGGTTTGAGTCCCGTGTAAACACTTTCCGTCTCTCTGCAGGTGAACTGAAGGATGTAGGTGCAGCGCTGCTGATGGGGCACATCCCAAACAGGATTGCTTTTCCTGGTATTATGCTGCACAGGAAGGTTGGGGAGTTGCTGTGTGACTGGTGTGAGCTTTGCTATGAGCTGATTTCTTACAAAGAAAAGCCTGGTATTGACTTTGTGGTGAAAACTGCGGGAGTGGGAGCATAGGGTGGCTGATAGGTGACCGCGTGTTGGATGAACATCCCGCCTGTTCCGTGAGGAGCAGGCTGGCTCTCCCGGCCGCAGCCTGGTGCATCCTTGAAGAAGCAGAACATGCTGGCTTTTCTACGGCAGTGGCAGCGGCTGGGGCTCGGGAGGGAGCCCTGGCTCAGCTGCTGGGGTCAGCCCACCGCGGCACGTTACTCCGGAGAGTATTCCTGCTGAGTGCAGGTGCTGCTCCTGGCTCCCGTCCTCCAGAGCTCGTGCCACGTCCCCCAGTGCCCAGCGATGAGTGCTGGCTGGCCATTTGGGTGTTGTGGAGGTAAAAGTGAGATCAGAGAGCTGCAGCAGAGGAGGCACTTCCTGATGGTGGTTGTTGGTGAGGAAAGTGCCCTAATAAACCCTGCTGTGGGCTCCCTTTGGCTCTCTGGGGAGGAGGAGGAGCCGTTGGCCTGAGGAAGGGGGGGGGTGTGTGGCCCAGCTGGAGGGCTCAGTGCAGACTTCAGTGTTATGAAAGGTGTCTCCAGAGCTGCAGGGCAAGGATAAATCTGCCCGGTGCAGATTTCTGTTGATGGTGAGCTTCAAGCCCTTCCCATTCGTGTCCAGAAGAAAACCAGATTTGCGCAGATCCCTTTGGGTGTGCTGGTATCTTTCTGAGACGGCTTTTCTGGAAATGCAAGAGTAAGTTGGACTCATTCCCCAGGCTCCTAGCGTGTATCCAAGGTAGTGCCGGTCGCCCGTTCCACCCCTGGGGCTGTCCCAGTCCTCCCGTGGCTGGAGTTCACGGGCCCAGCAGCACTGCCCCGGCGCCGGTCGCCCCGTGACGCTTGGGTTCCTTGTGCTTGCTGCCCCTGCCTGGCTGGGCAGGCGTGCGTGCCTGCGTGCAGCGCCAGCGCAAACCGCGCCTTTCCCCTCGCTCGGGTGTCTGTCCTCAGCACGTTTTCTGTTTCGAGTAGTGGCAACAGAAGATGGTATTGAGGATGAGCAAGTTGTGCGTAGTGAATACTTGATACCTAGTGGAGAACATTACATGGTGGCTGTACTGCGTATGTGCTTGAGAGGGTGTCTGATGCAAAGTGAGTTTGCTCTGCCTGCGCGTTACTGGGATGATGAGTTTGCAGAAGCATCTGCAGTTTTGATGTACTGATCTTGGCTGATTCCTGGAATTGTAGACCTACGTTAGCACTGAGCATCGGCATCTGGGTTTTGGGAGATCTATTACCTCACCAAGGCAGGAAGGAGCTAGGCAGCATGAGTGGACACTAGGAGTCTAAATACTTGTTTTACTTCAGCTTAAAGAGGAGACTTTAGGAGCTGAAGAGTTTCAGACCCTGAGGTACATGGATAGGTCTGATTAAAAACGGCCTCGGCTCTGTGTTAGTGTGGGAAGCGCAGCCCGTCGTTGCCAGCGGATTGAAGCGGGCTTGCCTCGCTCTTGCCTTGCGCGGCGGCACTGCGGGCTGACCGCTTTGCTGTTCGTCTCCTCTGGATTGAGCCCCAAGTTTGCTGCAAGCCCTCTGTTTAAGCGGTGGTGGGGTTCCCCCGCAGCCTCCAGCACAGCCCGGTGCTCTGCCCCGGGAGGCGGTGGCAGTTCCTCCGCCCAGCTCGGGCCGGGCGCGGGGCCGAGCGCGCGGTGCTGAGCGCGCGGTGCTGGGTGCTGGCCTGTCCCGGGTGGAGTGGGCGGGCGGGGCCCCGGCCCCGGCAGCCTCTGGTTTCGCGTGTGCCATCGGCTCTGCCTGCCTGACTGTGAGGGCTCGGGAAAGGGAAGAGCTCAACTCCTGGGCTTCCGCTGCACGCCGTCTCTGCCTCTCTGCAGAACATCGTGTCCAAGAACGCGATGCAGTACCGCGGGAACGCCCAGCACGATGCACAGGAGTTCCTGCTTTGGCTTCTGGACAGAGTCCACGAAGACCTGAACAACGTAGTGAATTACAGTGGCGTGCCCCCGCTCAAGGTAAGAGATTTTGCTGGGAGCCAACGCGGGAGAGTAGCTGTAACTTTGCAGGCAGCCTTTCTTTTTAAATTAGCTCTCCCTGTTGGCTTCTCAACTCCAGTAGTTCCGATGGAACAAAAGCTTGTGTTAAAATACTGCTTGTTTCTGGCCCTGTGAATGTAACTACCCATTTCACTAATCCCTGGCAAGTGCCCCCCAGTACAATCATTTGTGAAGGGTCACACATTGCAGGGGAGGGGCTGCCGGACACATCCTCTGGTGGGAGATCCCTGCCTTTCCGTGGGCTGCCCTAGCTACCTCGCATTCCTGCATAACCACCCCTGTGAGCAGAGCACACCTGTTATTTTAAAAACCTTGTGACCTTTTTCTGGTGTTTTTGGGCAAGGAGGGCACAAATTCAACAAGGAGTATTGGAACCATCTGCTGTGGTGCACCTCCACGCCTCGGTGTGCTTCTAGGGTTTATTCTTCTCTTTCAGCCACCGCTGGAGGATGATGTGCTGCTCGAGGGACCCGCCTTTCCAATCAGTAGTACTTTCGTGCAGGAACTCTTTCAAGCCCAGTACAGGTATATTTTGTAATTTTTGAGGCATTATTGCATGTATTGGTGACCCCAGTATAATTCTGCCCTGACTCTAGCTCCCAGTACACTTGAGACTGGTGTCATTGTGTTAACAGCTGGTTCTGAATTCCTGCTGGATGACATCTGAACTAAGATCTTGCTCCAGAGGAGAGAAAGAATTTCACTACCTCAAATTTGGTATATTCTGTGGAAATCTGCAGTATGTACCACCTCTTCACCTGCCCTGATGCATCCTGAGAGCAAGTCAGTGCTCAGGGGAGCAAAGTTTCAGGACATCTCAGTGCTGTGAGGCTCACCCTGGCTGTTCAGAGGCGAGAGCCTGCGGCAAGATCTGGAGGCGCCTGGGGAGTTAGGGATCCCAGGCGTCCTGCACGGTTCCTGCTACCTGCCACTTGGGAATTCTGAGCTGAATCTTTCACTGTCCCTTCAGGGCCTTCCCATGACTCTCCCATACTTCCTGGGAAGTGAGCATTTTAATTTCAGAACTAATGCAAAAAAACCAGCCTAATTTCTAGTGCTCCTCAATGGCTTGTATCTGTGCTGCTGTAAGAATTTTAATTGCCGGGCTTTCTCCCCAACATTTGCCACGGCTTCCTTTACAAAAGAGAAACCTTAAGCCTGGTATAAAACACAAAGCCACTGTAAGGTGCAGGGTAATTCTGAATGTGAGATGTGTTGTCTGGAGTTTTTCCCCTCTGAGTAAGAGGTCTGTGCACCTGCAGTGCTGACTGTCGCTGTCTTCCCTGCCACTTCATCTCTCTTCAAAGGCAAAACCCTTCCAGGCCTTCCATGTTGCAGCTACTGTCGGTGAATTATTAATTTTGCAGTAATGTTTATTAAAAGCTGAATTCAGTGACTAGAGTGAAGTCTTTTCCTGGCATGCCCTGTAATGAACTTTAATTACTTTAAAAAGATCTAGAAATCAGGAGTCCATCGTTTACAGCGGCTAGGTCTCTACAGCCTCTGTGCAGAGCTGCTCTGTGTGGCAAAAGAAGAGTAGGAAGGGGCAGCCAGGCTGACATGTGAAGGCTGTTACTGTGATTTGATGGTTTCTCCAGTCCTGGTGCAGTGAGGTATAACTGTCCTATTATTGATATTTGTACTAGGTCCTCTCTGACCTGCCCTCATTGCCAGAAGCAGAGTAACACCTTTGACCCTTTTCTCTGCATCTCTCTGCCGATTCCTTTGCCTCATACACGGTAGGTAACTGTCTTGAACTTCATGTTGGCTGTTTCCCATGCAGATAGTGTTGTTTAATTTGCTACAGAAGGGAGAGAGATGTCAGCAAAATCTTGACGGTAAGTCTTTAAAGAAGATAGATAGGACCATATGGGGCTTTAATTTTTTGCTTTGCAGGTAAATTGGAAAATCAAGCCTTTTACTTGTTTCAGAACAGCCCTCCACCCCCACCCTTAACTTCCTGTAGAATTAATTTTTGGGAGAAAAAATACGTTTGATTCAGGTAACCAAATTATTTTGCTTTTGACTTGATTTATAGCATTTTAAAATTAAAAAGGGAAAAAGGATGAAACACTCTTTACTTTCTTTAGAACAGGCTCACTGATCACTCCCATTTCAAAAAGTGAAGTTAAAAGCTTTCCTGCAAAATTCTTTGCTTTTTTGAAAGATAGCTGTTGCCAATAAAGAAAAAAGATCCCAGGGAGGAAAAAAAAACCCAGATAAAAAGTTCAGAGCGAAGATAGAGATGCACAGCAGAGCTGCCTGTTGTATAAATAAGCAGCTCCTTCACCTGCTGTTTGGGATGCAGAGAAGGTGTGTAGTTCAGGAAGCAATGAACGAAGTAATAGAAGGACTTCTTAAGCAGGACTAGGTCACCTTCGGTTCAGAGGTCCCTGCTCCAGCAGGGAGAGGAGGCTGGGGGGCTTGGCAGGGGAGGCAGCCCTGGCAGGCTAGCTGCCCCGCTCTGCTGGGAGCCAGCCTGGAGCAGCTCTGCCCGGCGGCAGCGCTCGCCGAGTGCTTTAGGGTGCTGCCTCCGACTGTCCTAAGCTGCCTCACAGCATCCTGGTTGGGAAATCACGATCGCCTTGTCAGAGAGAGGATTACTTTTAGCTTTGTGAGGCTTTTTTGAGAAGCCGCTCTGCTGCTGGGAGCAAGGAACACCAGTCCGTGCAGCAAGAAAGGAGTCTCTGGGGATCACACATACCAGTCTGGCTGCGGCCAAGCGTGACCCCAGTGCGAGGCCGATCCGGAGGGCCGGGCAGCTCCTGGGCAGCCTGGATGCCCCCAGGCTGGGCTGGCTGTTGGGGGGTGCTGCCCAGCCCCAGCAGTGCCTCCCGTGCTCTCTGCAGGCCGCTCTACGTCACCGTGGTGTACCAGGGGAAGTGCTCTCACTGCATGCGGATCGGGGTGGCGGTGCCCGTCTCCGGAACGGTGGCCAGGCTGCGGGAGGCTGTCTCCTCTGAAACCAAGATACCCACGGAGCAGGTAACGGGCTGGTCTCGCCCCCTGCGTGCCCTCCCTTCAGCGGGGGGGAGTGCGGGGGCTTGCATCCCACGCTGGGTATGTAGGAATTGAAATTCGCTGCCTGCGATTGAAGGGGGGAGGCAGGGTAGCAGTACCCTGGACCGTGCTTTCCCTGTGCGCTGGCGTTTTGAAACCTAGGGGCGTTGGGACGGCCGTGGGGGGAGCGTGCAGAGCTTGTGCCTGATGGGACGGTGCTTTGTGCATGCTGGCAGTGAGGGAACCGTCAGGCACCTGCAGGGGATTCCTCTGTAGGAGGAGCTTCAGGAAAGCTGTCAGATCCCACAAAGACCTTTCCGTGTGCTGCCTTTACCCCAGCTTCTCTTTGACGGCAGTCCTTTTCCCTGTCCCTCAGTCCTGACCGACGCCAGGATGTTTTGAGGAACACCATCCCTTAGCAGGAAAATCCCAGCTGAGGGATGGGGCAGCTCAGCCGGACCAGGCACGGATGGTTTAATGGGTTCTGGTTTGCTTCTGCTGACTGCAGATCGTGCTGACGGAGATGTACTATGATGGGTTTCATCGTTCCTTCTGTGATACTGATGACCTGGACACCATTCATGAAAGCGACTGCATTTTTGCCTTTGAGACCCCAGAGATATTTAGGCCCGAGGGTATACTCAGTCAGAGAGGTAAGTCGATAGCTCTGCTTAATGCCTGCCTCAGGTGACTCGGCGAGGGAGAATTGTTTTGGAAAAGGATATACTTGAGAATAAAAGTCCCACAAGTAGTTGATGCTCTGGTGCATTGATTTCAACTCTGACTTTGTCCAGACTCATTCCAGCAGACTTAATGGTGGTGCCAGCCGGGAGGCTATCAGGAAGAGATGTACACTCCTTTCTTCTTCTTCCCAGTGCTGATTCTGCAGGCCAGGCTGGCTTAATGTGAAATCTGTTGTCAGACTTAATTTAAAGACCTGTTAGGGACCAGATGAAGCTGCTGAAACTGTGTTATTTAAAATCAGATTGCCAGTGATGAATAAACAGTCTCAGGAATGAACAAACACTTTCTCTTTCAAAGCTCAAAAACCTCAGCCTCTCTGCATCTTCCTCTAAGTGAAAGGCAATAATTGCATCCTGGGTAGACAGAGTGTAATCAAAGGCAAATTTTATTATTGGAAGTAACAAGCAGGGTTTCTGTCACTTTAGCTTTTCTTGTGGGCAGACAAAGCTATGAGTGCTTGTACAAAGTGCTGTGAAAAATCAGTTAGGTGAGCACTTGCATATAATTTCTTTCTGTAAAGAAATAGTCACTATGAAAAGTAACTGCTCTTTGAAGCCTTCATACAAGTGATAAAAGTGGTCTTGATTCCATATTGACCTGTTCCTCTGCAGCCAAAGGCATGTTTCTTGAGGGGGTTATCAGGGCACTAAAGGCAAATGACATAACAAAATGTTTCCCTTCTCCTAATTTTTCAGGAATACATGTGAACAATAACCTGAATAACTTGAAATGTGGCACTGAGCACTCCCGAACAATATCTTACTCTCAAGGAACAGTGAAGTCTGGAAAACTGGAACAGTCCTCTACTAAAGCAGCAGCAAGCGACAAGATTGTCTTGCTGGTGTGTAACCGAGCGTGCACTGGGCAGCAGAGCAAAAGGTGACTGGCAGCTTCACCGTCAGAGTTACTCTTCTGGCCGCTTCCTTCACTGGCCTGGGTTTTACTCACTGTGTAGTGAAAGCAGAAGAAGGAGCGACAGCTTGCTTTAGGTGCTAAAGAACATGTTGATCAAAAAATATTAATGAATGCAGCAAAATACTCCTAATTGTGGTGAGCTTCAAATAGCCCAGTGTTAATGGGAAGTGGTGAGTGCAGACCGGCTGGAAGGAGGTACCAGCTCTCTTTAGAGCAGCAAACACACCTGACCAGATCCTGTGGTGTGTGGAAATTTTTAATTGCAGTGCAAACAGGGGAGTGGGGGGGGGATTGAGAAATGGCCATGGCAAAGGCATTTGTACCAACCGCAGACTGAGAATTCTCTCAGCTGCTGAAGTTTGTTTCACAAAAAGTTATCCCAGCCAGGTAATGGTTGCAAGGCTCTGCAGCCTGAGGCAGGGGGCATGAGCACAGGGCAGGGCTGCAGCCCTTTAACACGAGCCCTCTGTGTGGTCAGCCACAACAGCATTTCCTCAAAGTTAAGCACCTCTCCTCGGGGGACAATTTTTTAAATGCTTAGTGTCAGGGGAGTTTCATTCAAAGTGTGCCGAGTGAGGGGGAGAGTGGCACTGTCAGAGTCTGGGGATCCTGTTGCTGAACAGAATAATCTTTTAATTGCTCCCTTAAATGCTACTCCTTCCTGTAGGTTTGGCTTGCCTTTTGTGTTGCATTTGGAAAAAACAATTGCTTGGGATATTCTGCAGAAGGAAATTCTGGAGAAGATGCAGTATTTCCTGCGGCCTGCAGCCTGCATGCAGGTGAGGCAGATGATTTGTCTGGTTTGAGACGTCCAGCTCTGTGTGATGTGAACTAAAGGGGAAGCCAGTTACTTGGAGCGATAAACATGAACATACTGAGCTGATGGCTTCCCTATATTTCTTTGTGCAATAACGTCCAAGTCTGGTATTCCGCCTCTTTGGGGCTTTTGTCTATTTGCTGAAAGGTACAGGTAAGATCAGACTGATGGGGTGAAGAAATTGCATGCTTCGCTTCCCTTCCTCGGTGCCGAGAAGTACTTGAGAGATTAGTGCTGCTGTCTGCGCTGGTAATCCACTGGTTGGTGGTGTTTGCCTAAAAGAAAAGCTGAAACGTTTGCTTAGTGACTGTGTGTTTCTGATGAGAATCCCCTCTGAGAGCAGAGGGGTGTCTCCTCTGGCCACCACAGAGGAGTTGTTGGGTCCAAAGCCTCAATTGCTGTACCTCACCCCTCTGTTAGCTGCTTGGTGTGGGCATAGCTGAGACCTTGTGCATTTGCTTTATCATGTAAAACACATGTTCTAGGATAAAGTACATGTCAGCTGGTGCCGAGAGCAGGTTTGCCCGTCGGTGAGGGGGGTCGGAGCCACTGAGATGGCTTTTCTCTTTGCTACAGGTTTGCCCGTTCAGCTTGCGAGTGGTCAGTGTTGTGGGCATAACATACTTGCTACCTCAGGAGGAGCGACCCCTCTGCCATCCGACAGTGGAAAGGTGAGCTGGTCCCCGCTCCCAGGAGCGGAGAGAGGTGTGTCAGCTGGGAACTCGGTGCGTAGCTGTGCCGAAAGGGACGGTCTTGGTGTGGGTGTGCGGAACGGACTTCGCAGGGCTGAGGAGCAGGGAAGCGACGGAGTGTCCTCAGGAAGCTGTGTGAGGATTGCTCAGTTGTGTGTCATGCCATCTGGAGTCTGTCCTCCTCGGAAATGGAGAACAGAAATAAAGTATTACTCCCCCCATTTTTAATTTTTTTTTTTTAGTGACTAATTTTTTAGAAATTTTTGTAGATGCCCGTTCTCTAAATAAGTGTATGTTTATTTACAGAACTAATGTGCTTAAGTAAATGCAGTTTGCCAGCTTTGCCATGTTCTTTGCTGGATGAATTCCTTTTACTCCTTTGCAAACTTGTGCTGTGTGGGAGTGGAGGAAGGATGAAGGACTAGCAGGGAGAAATTATATGCATGTAAAAGATAACGCAGGCTTCAGATTGAAAGGTGATTTAACTTTTGTCTGCTCGTCTCCCCAGGGCATTGAAGTCATGTGGACAGGGGGGAACTGCTCATGTGAAATTAGTGGTGGAATGGGACAAAGAAACTAAAGATTAGTAAGTATGAAGTAGAAAGCCTTAAAGTGTGTTCACCCTGAGAGCAGTGCTTGTGGCTTGCTTGTGTGTATCGTGCACCCTTCAGCAAACACGAGCCCCCTCAGAAACTACCCTGTGCTCTGGCCACTGTCTGCAGGGACAGGCTGGGGCCGGGAGCCCTAGGCTTGCCCTGAGTTGGAGCCCTTTTCTCTGTAGCTGGTGTTTTACGCTATGGAGCAGGCGTCTCACCTGTGGCTCCTTCCCCCACAAATCATATTTGTGTGAGAAAGTTTGTGGGCAGTGGGTAGCTTTTTCTGTCTGAGAGAAACCGGAGTGGGTGCCCACTGGAGCAGTTTACCCCCGTGTTCAGTTGTGTTGCCCTGGCAGGATCTCTTGCCAGTCAGCTCTTGCTCATGCGTGATGGGACAAATCCAGGAAGCTGCTGCTGCTTGTACCCTCAGAACGGCTCCTCAGCAGCGTGGGGCGCGGGTGGATGTGCTGGTAAACATTGTCTCCCTGATGCAGCTTGTTTGTGAATACGGAAGAGGAGTATATTCCAGACTCCGAAAGCGTCCGCCAGCAGAGAGAGCTTCATCATCAACCTCAGACCTGCACTTTATCTCAGTGTTTCCAACTGTACACCAAAGAGGAACAGGTAGGGACAAGACTCTGTAGCAGCCAGGACGCGGGAGGTCCGGCTGGTCCACGTGCTGCGTGAACTCCCATACTCAGCAGAGCAGCTGTTTTCTGCAAACACTGATTTGTTGAGACAGAAGAATAAATTTGTAAGACAGCACCAGTTGCCAGTCCTGCTAACAGAGCATCTCTGCAGTGAGGAGAAAGTTGTGGGAGATACGGCTTTTGGGTCTTCTGCTCCCCAGGTGTTGATATGGGAACTTACTCCTCTGTTCTGCAGTTTCCTCCTTGTGAATTCGCTGGCGTAGACTGTAAAGAGTTAGGACAACGTGGCTTCTTCATGGGAATTTACTGCTCTGTTTTGGAGCAGTTGTATGTTTCCAAGCCTGAGGAGGGCTGGGGGGGGCTCAAGGCAACCCCCACCGAGTGGGACCCCCACACGGCAGCTCAGTGACCACAGAGCTCAGATCCCCGGGCGCGTGGCCGCGCTCCTCTAGCTCTGCTCGTGGTGTGAGGAGGTTGACGTGGCAGGAGTGATGGTGTGCCCCAGGGCAGGCTAGAGGTGGGTTTGATCTGCCCCTTGCCTGGAACACAGAAGAATTCTGCATTTCTTTGCCAGAGGTCTCTAATCTGCTGTAAAAGGGATGGTTCTAGAGGCGGACTGCAGACCCGTGGTTGAGCTTTAATAATTTTGGACCCTCTCTTGTCGCTTCTTTCAGAGGTGAGGGAAAAGTTGTTTGGCAGCTTAAAGCTCTCTGGCTTCTGAGTTTTCTAAGCACTCGGCTGTGGAGGGAAGTGCATATTGTGTTTGTGTCTCTGAAAAGACATATTCTCCTTGGTGGACAATGAAAATCTCTGCAGTTTGTAAGTCTGTGCCACGGGGACGTAGGGAGGAAGAGGGTTTCCAGAGGGCAGCGAGGTGTTGGAGATGAAATTCGAAGTACACCTGTCTTCTTTTTGTTCTGAGTTTCTTTGCTGCTGGTTTTCTTGTGAGAATACTTTTACTCAGGCTGCCAAGCCTGCCTGCTTTTTGCCTTTGCTTTTTCTTCTCCACCACTTCAAAGGTGTTGGTGTTTATAAGGTGGAAATAGCTCCTCTGTGCTGCAGCACTAGCTGGATTCTGTCTTGCAGCGGGAAGCACCTCCGATGTGAGGCGCACGTGTCTCCTTGCTTGTCACTATTTTGAAAAGCATTATTGGGAGCTCTGCATTTCCAAGGAGCTTAAATGCCAGAAGTAGATGGGATGCAGGGGTCAGTGTCTGGACGGGGCCTGGGGCAGCAGAGGAATGGTGGCAAAGTGAAAGCTGCCTTGGAATTTGAAAACTAATACCCACTCATGCCTCTTCCTTGTAGCTTGCCCCCGATGACGCGTGGCGGTGCCCACACTGCAAGCAGCTGCAGCAGGGAAGCATCACACTGAGCCTCTGGACCTTACCTGATGTTCTCATCATACATCTCAAAAGGTTTAGGCAGGTAAGGATGTCTGCAGTGACGCCGGAGGACCGCTGCTCAGCCGGGAGTGACCTGACTAGACCACCTCTTCAGAAGCGGCTCTTCCGCTCTGCGCGCTCCCCTCCTGGATTTTTGTTTTCCCCAGACACGGTGGCCTCGCTGCCACTGCAGCTCATGCTATTCTCTGCTTACACAGGAAGGAGACCGAAGGATGAAACTTCAGAACATGGTTAAATTCCCCCTGAGTGGCTTGGACATGACTCCTCATGTTGTTAAACGCAGTCAGAGCAGCTGGAGTCTGCCATCGCACTGGTCACCCTGGAGGAGACCTTACGGTCTCGGAAGGGATCCTGAGGACTATATCTATGACCTGTATGCTGTCTGCAATCATCATGGCACCATGCAAGGGGGACATTATACAGGCAAGTATCCTACAATATTATGTATGTTGGATCCTTTCAGAAAGAAAGCGGTTATATTTTCCTAATGAGTGACCTTAACTTCTTCATCTTTCCTGACAAAATGACCTAACCCGACTAACGGGGGCTGGCTATGTAATACCAGAGGGGTAACTTTTATGACTTTGAGGAATGGAATGATGTCTGTTGACCCTAAATGTCTTGCTGTACGTTTCTATTTCTTTTCTTGCCCTCACAGTAATGCAACTGGGTTTTCATGTCTCAAAAATGCTCTTGCCCGCTCAACACAGAGCTTCTGTAGTTGCAAGAGGTTGTTATATATGGGAAGTGTTTGCACATTGCCAATGTGCACAGACAGTTTATGAACCCCTCTTTGCTTGTTCCAGAGATAGACAAAGTTGCTTGGTGGTTCTTAGGATCTGTATGACTTCACACAGCAGCCCAGAAAATGTGTGTGCCCAGTTTTGCCCTCTGATATACGTCTCTGGGCTGGGTTGTCCTGGGGGGGCTCAGTCAGGAGGAGATCACTGATGGAGATGACTGACCCAGGGAACAGAACGTGAAGTGAATGAAGCCACCCAAACGGTGCTGTGTTCTGAGGAGTAATGTTGGACAAGGAAAATCCTGAAATGCGAGCTGTTTAGGAAAGAGTAGTAGGGGTGAGGAAAGTCTAATACTGATGTATTTTCTCTCAGCATATTGCAAAAACTCGGTTGATGGCCAGTGGTACTGCTTTGACGACAGTGATGTTCAGCAACTTTCTGAAACCGAAGTCTGCAAGCAGACAGCTTATATTCTTTTCTACCAGAGACGCACAGCAATCCCATCATGGTCTGCTAACAGCTCTGTGGCAGGTAAGCCCCACCAGCACTGTCAAGGAGGGGCTGTAGTTTGTATTTCATGGATAGCGTGTCCTTGTGAAGAATTCTGTGCCCACCTCTGCTTAAGGCCCCACTCTCTGTCCCAGAACTTGGCCAGGCTTGTCTGAGTCTGCTGCTGTGCATCAGAGGCCGTGGGAAGGTCCCACCTCTCCTGGTAAGCCTAGTTGTGGCAAAGAGGCTGTGGAGAGGGGGGACATCCCTCCACCCCCGTGGGTAATTCTGCTCAGAGCTGCCCTTGTCAAAACGGTGACAGAAAGATGCGAGTGGCTCCTTCCCTCCAGCAGCGCCGTCGCTCTTGGGTGGGCAGCCAGCAGCCGACTGTGTCGGGTGAGCGCGGGGTGAGCGGGGGGCAGGTGCAGGATTGGTGACTGGCCTTCGGAGAGGAAAGGCTTTGCACCGCCTTGTTGTGGCAGCTCAGGGGCTGCCCTCTCTCTGCCTGCATGCTGTGGTGCCGATTCTTTTGATTCACAGCACACTGGGGCAAGCGCAGTTCTGTCTTTCACACACGACCATAACTATTTCCTAAGAGCAGAGGCTCCCTGGATGCTGTGGCTGTGTGGCCAGACTCCGGGTGTCTGTCGAAGCCAGGGCAGCACGTACCTGGCTCGGTGGCCTCCCAAGGCTTCGCGTGTTCTGCGCCCGCGCACCTCTGGCCTGATGTCCGTGCCTGATTCCTCACAGGCTCCACAAGCTCCTCGCTCTGCGAGCACTGGGTCAGCCGTCTTCCTGGGAGCAAGCAGCCCAGCATCGCTTCGGCAGCGTCATCGCGGCGCACCTCGCTGGCCTCGCTCTCGGAATCGGTAGAGCTGACTGGGGAGAGGAGCGAAGACGATGGTGTGTATCAGCACTGCAGCGGGGGGGGGGGATACTGGGCCACTAATCCTTCTGTCACAAGATCCCTCCTAAAATAGCTGCAAATTACGTGGTTGCAAGGGGTTACTCGGGCAGCTGGGGGAGGCAGGCACTGTGTTGGGAGGAGCAGGTGGGTTCTGGCACAGGTGAGCTTTTCTCTGGCATGAAAGGATGGAGGAGAGCAGGGCAGGAACCTTAAGGAGCCTTTCAAAGAAAGGAAAGAGCATCAACAAAACCTCTCAGTCAAGAACTGCTCGTGCTTGTGGGTTTTTTTTTTCCTGGGTTTCACTGCAGCACCTCTGCAGGGAGGCTGACACTGGTACTGATTGTGTGCTGCTGCCGTGCTGGAAACTGCGCCCAGGGAGGTGAGAAGATACACAAATTCACTTGCGTGTGCAAATAACTGTTCCTGGCTTTGCCTGGCTCCTCCACGTAGTGCCTTATAACTTCTGAAAATGCGGAGCTTCACACGTCAGTCTGAGTATTTTGAGGCGGGTGTGGAGATGTCCCTGCAGCAGCGTTGTGATAAATGCCAGATCTAGCCGTGGTAGTTGCATTTCTAAAATGCTTAATGTTGACCTTTGTGTTTGTAAATACAAATACATTGCTTTAGATAAAGAGGTGGGAATCCTACTTTGCCTTTTACAGGTTGATAGGGGAAATATTCTTTAATACAGAAAAATGTATTTCTGGGAGCATAATCCTAGTTGGTGAACTCATTGCTAGTTTCAAGGACTTCCAGCGTGCAAAGCCCGTATTTGGTCTCCTGCTGCTCATGGATGAGAGGAAAATCTGGTTTTTCAGTTCTAGGCTTCAGAGAGTTACTTCGGGGTGACCGCTGGCAAACAACAGTTGTTGTGAATTCCTTATTCATCCTTCATGCAAGAAGCTGTGCCGGCAGCAGGCGCAGAGCCAGGCACGCAGTGTGGGCTGGGTGGGCTGTCTGACTCTCTGGGGGAAATCGCTGTGTCTGTGGGTGGTGGGATAAACCGACTGCAGGCTTGGCTTTCATACCGGGGGTGTTGCTTTCTTTCTCTGCAGGAGGATTTTCAACTCGGCCGTTTGTAAGAAGTGTCCAGCGTCAGAGCTTGTCATCCAGGTCCTCTGTCACCAGCCCCCTGGCAGTGAGTGAAAACGGTGTCAGGCCCTCGTGGTCACTCTCCGCAAAACTGCAGTTGCGCTCCAACTCTCCGTCACGCTTCTCCGGAGATTCCCCCGTACATACCTCGGCTTCCACCCTGGAGAAGATCGGGGAGGCTGCTGATGATAAAGTCTCCACCTCCTGCTTCGGCAGCCTGAGGAATCTCTCTAGCAGCTACTTGGAGCCCTGTGATGGCAGTCGGCGAGAGCACAGGACGGCTCGCAGAGCTCCTCTGGCTGTCATGGAAGGGGCATTCAGGGAGGAGTCTGTTATAAGGACATCCAGCTCAGATCTTTCAGACGGGTGTGGTAAAAGCTCTGTGCAGCCAGACGGGAATTACCCTGCTTTGGACCCTTTTGATAACAACAATCAAATCGCCTTTGTTGATCAGAGTGATTCTGTGGACAGCTCTCCAGTCAAGGAGGTGAAAGCCCTCAGTGGGACGGGGCTGGCTGCAGCGAAGTCAGATGGCACCCCTAAGAAGGTTCACAGCTCCAAGGGCGTTTCTGAGCCAGACAAAAGTTTGAGGAAGGGAAGGACAGTCTTACCTACCCAAGAGGCCAAAGTCTCTCACTCTTCTCCTCCTCCACTAAAGAGTTCCCAGAAAGCTTCCCGATCTAGAAGCAGGGCGGACTCCTCTAGAGCCAGTGGGCGACATGGGTCTCCTGCTCCCACTCAGGTGAGGAAGGACCACAGCACGAAGCCCCTTGAGGTGGCTGTCCCATCGGCTCAACAGAAGCAAAAGTCAGGTTCTTCTCCATCCTCCACAGCTGCCAAGAAGCCCCCATCAGGCTCATTGACTAAGGGGTCTTCTGCTGGGAAGGGCCGGGCTTCAGACCGCAGCCTCAGCAGGGAGGGCTCCAAGATAAGCCTGGGGTCAGACAAAACGAGCGTTACCAGCAGTTCAAGGACAAGCTCCCCACGGATAAGCCACTCCAGGAGTGACAGCAGGGCCGTAGACAGCAAGCACGTGCGGAGTTCCTCTATGGCCAACCTGCGGTCTCCAAATGTTGGCGTGCGTTCTGGTTTGAAGAGGGACAGCAAGTCAGAAGAGAAAGGCTTGTCTTTCTTTAAATCGGCCTTAAGGCAGAAGGAGACCCGGAGGTCAGCAGACCTGGGAAAAACAACGATGCTCTCAAAAAAGGCAGGGAGTGGCAGTTCCAAGTCGGGCAGTAAAAGTGTGCTGGAAGACAAATCGGAGAAAGGTGTTGTCCCACCAGCCTCTCAAACCAATGCCAATGTTACTGCAAAAGAAAAACTTGTCCCAAAAGATGCCACACCCAACAAACATTCTCTGCTATCCAGTCGCAAGTCCAAGTCTTCCCAGCTAGATCCCGGAGTCCAGCCTCCTCCTTCCAGTGGCAAGCAGGCTGCTGACAAGCCGCTGAAAAAATTACCTTCCAGCATGCAGGTGTCTGTACGGCCTTCTCTGGAACCTCAGTGAAATGCTGCAATCCAGGTGTCTTTTCTTCTGCTGAGAAGCTAATTTATTCTGAGCTCTTGTTTTTTTGTTCATGTGCCTAATGTATGTTTTGAGGAGAAGTTAACTGCAAGTTGTTAAAGCGCCTTTTGATTCTGCCATCAAACCAAATAGCCACAGGCAGCCAGCACTGATGCAAGTAGTCTAGCCGGAGTTGTTGTTGAACATGAATGCAGCCGTCCCATAGCACTTGTACAGGAGTCTCTTTATAGAAAATGCAACAACTTTCTTCAGATTCAAGGTCTGAAGTCTGAAACCCAGTTGTACTGACACCAGTGTGCTTTGTAGAGCTGTGAACTGATATTCCTTTGGTCTTGTTCTGGGCAGGCTGTGTCCGTGCTGGTGTATGGCCTTGTTCTGAGCTGTGGAGGACGCGAAGGAAACTGGAGAGCCTGCCGCTTCTTTCTGCTCTCAACCCTCTCTCCCTGTTCCTCTCCATTTTTCAAGCTTTCTAAAGGGCAATATTTCAACACTAATGTTTTTTCTCAGGTATATGCTCAGCCAGTATAAGAGGGACTAGCATTAGTGGATGGACAGAAAGGTACCTGTGTGTCTGTGTGTGTGTGCGTCTGTGTAATGGATTTAATTTTTGCATTCCAGGAGCAGAAAGTTGTTTGCTTGTTTTTTATTCCCTGAAATGTAACCTGCATTTTTTTGTTGCAATGTCTACAAAGAGTTTTACTCTGTCCGTACCTAAGGCGACCTCTACCCTGTCCTCTTAATTACGTTCTCTCTTCTGAAACACTGTACTAAGCACCAGAAGAACTCAGTAAGCAGCAGCTGGTTGCAGCTGGTACCTGTGGAAGTGCTGGGCGGGAGGTGGTGCAGAGCTGCAGGAGGGCTGTCCTCGTGCCCCTGCGCGGCAGCGATGCGGTTAGGACCCCTGCTCAAACTCCTGAGAAGCAGCATTTCCTAGTGTGCTCAGATGCTTAATCGTAGTGGTGTGAATATCGCATCCGTTATTTATAGGAGCAATGTTTAGATAAGCCAAGTTGTCGTCCTCTCTGCCTTCTCTGAGCATGCTTTGAACAAGCCTCTTTGTGCAGGGGCGGCACCAAAGTACCGCGGAGCATTCCCCACGTTCTCCAGAGCGCTGCTTGCTCCCCCCTTCGGCGTGCTTGTCCCCTCCCCGGCGGGTCTGGCTGCCACATGGCCCTTAGCAAGTCGATCCCCCTTCTTGTTTGGATGACGTCTCTGTCAGGGTTAAAACACTACATCTAGTCACGTCTTTGTTTACACGCCCTTCTTACAGGGGAGATTCCTCGAGTTCTTTAAGATTCCCCTGAAGAGGTGGATTCCTCAAGTCCTTTTATATTCACGTGCTGTAATATCTTCCTTTCTAATTCCGTGAGCTTTGATTAACGTGCTGCGTGCCCTTTGCGCACAGCAGCAGGCCGCCGTGTAGGTCGCACGTGGCAGCAGCGGGGCAGGGTGCCGGGCACGCTTGTCTTCTGAACGAGGTCTGTGCCTGTCCCACAGGCTTGCGTGGCAAAGCTGCTCCAGGCTCCTGGACAGACATACTTGTGCATCTGCTGGCAGCGTAGCAAACACCCCTCAGAGGGGCAGGGACTGAGCTAGTCTGTCCACCTCCTCTCGAGCTGATGACCCTGCGAGACGCCTTGCCCCCAGGTCTGCTGGGCACGTTGCTGCTCCATGGCCCCTCTGTGTACTCGGCTCGCCCCACATCTGCAGCAAGCCTTGGAGAGAAGCGTTTTGGGGGTAGCTGACACCTCGGCGAGGAGGCAGCGTGTGTGCGGGGCTGCGCTGAGCTGGGGGGGGCACAGAGCTCTGGGCAGAGCGTGACAGCGAGCCCGCCTGCAGTAGAGCCCCTGCTCTGCCCCCATGACGTTCTGCAGAACTTCCTCCATGCAGCCCAGAAGCAGTGCCAGTAGCCTGCAGATTTTTAGAATGTGCTGGACTCTGTGCCCTGGACTACGTTTTTTAAACCTGAACACGACCATATTCTTGATGCATTTCTTCTCCCAGGTATCGTTTCAGTCTCACTTATTGCAGCAACAAGAAGCAAAGATTGCACTGCTTGCTTCTTAAATATATGACTTGGATTATTCTAGGATTATTTTTTTGTTATATCCAGCAGAGCAGATAAGACCTGCTTCACACTGTAGTACTTAAATTACTCCCTGAAATGTTGATGTTGAAGTATTTGTTTAAGGTTTTATCTGTATTAAGGTCTTGCACTGTGTTGGCTCTTCTCTTGTAGCAACTCTTGTAGCAAGAATGTAATTCTGGTAGCTAGTGCTAACTTGGTTTGGTATCTTTTAATAGACAGAACCTAGTTTTCCGTGCGTTTTACCAGGGGACATTTGTGAAGGGTTATTTTTATCAAATGACATTTTCTTTTCATGCCATTGTTCACTGAAGAAGTTTAAACTGGAAGCTGGTGTATGGTTTTTGAGGTGGTTTTGCTCCTGTATTGCATGCCTGGACCGGAGGAAATTTGAAGCCGTGTCCAAATGGGTGTTTCAGCTGAGTGGCAGTGCAATGTGTTTGTGTGAGCATGGCCCTTGGAGCTCCCGCGTTGACGAAACGGCAACGGGAGGTCCTGGTGTTTCAGCAGCTGATGCTAAAAGCAGCCGAACCTCTGCACATCCCCGGATGTGCCATCTAGCTCTTTTCCCGTGTACTCCCCCTAATTCCTGATGGAGGTCGCTACCAGCTCCAGCCTGATCTCCTCCCCGCGTGCCGCCAGGCTGGGTTTTGTACCTGCCCCCGTGCCCAGGGCAGCTGGGGCGGGTAGCACGGTGCGCTCGCCTGCGAGCGGGGGAGACGCTGCTCCGTGCCTGGGCTGCCTCTGCCGCAGGGGGGCTTGACTTGCCTTCGGGCATCCTCACACTGACAGGTCAGTCTGGAGCTCGTGTTGGGTATCGGGCACACCGGGCGAAAGGGGCAAAGCCTGCCCGGGCAGCCCCTGCTCCGCGGCCGTGTCGGTTCCGCGACAGAGCAGCTTGGAGAGCGGCCGTCCGCCGCCGCCCGGCGTCTCTGCTGCTCGGCCTCAGATCTCCAGCGGTGTAGGAACGTCCTTGCCCAGGGCTGGGCTGAAGGGCGGCGGTCCAGGAAAGCGTTTGTTGTGAGTGTACACCCAAGCCTCCCTGCTGTTACAGGCCCTACTTAAAGTGATCTGCGGAACAGCGACATCAGCCTTCTCTTCTTGCTTTGAAGTCGATTTATTTCTTAGCCCTTTCATGCCTGGGAATTCCGGCCCGTGTGTGTCGCGTTGCCCAGATGCCAGGATGTGGCGTGGTACGAGGGAACGCTCCAGAGAGCTCTTCCGAGTCCTGGATGCCCACGGCACCTTGGCGGTGCGCGTGGATCCTTGGAGCAGGGAAGGCTTGGGGCACTCCGGGAGCGGCCGCTTGTGCGCCGTCCCCTCTTCTCCTAAAATTCACGTTCGGCTTCAGAAGCACGCGCGCCTGTGGAGGGAGGGGGTGGATTCTGCCATCTCCCGAGGGCCACTGCCCGCCAGGGACGTCCCCTGCCCCCTGGGTGGTGGCACGTGGGGCCTGGAGGGGTCGTGGCTGGGTGTCCTGAGTGGGACGGGGGCGGCTGGTGCGCGGGTCTGCCTCGCCGGGCTCGCAGAGCCCTGGGGGGCGGCGGTCCTGGCGTGGGGTGCGGGGCTCTGGGACCCCCGGGGCCGGTGCCCTGGAAGCGAAGGTTTGCGGGGCAGCCTCCCACCGGTGAGAAATGCCACGGAAGGGGGAAGGTCCAGTCCCGTCCCTGCGCCCCGCCAGCCGTGCCCGTGGGGGGGCAGCAGGCTCGGGGCCCTCGGAGGGGTGGGACGGGACGGAGCGTTTCCCATCGGCTTTGGGTTGAGCTCACCCGCATCCGCCCCGTGCGACTGGTGTTTCACCGCACACCCCCAGCCTGACGCTTGGCTCCTGCTCCTGGAACCAGCCCTCCGGGCGCAGGACAGCGGCGCCTTCATTCCAGTGCTGGATTCCTGCTGGAGTCACCTAAAGAAGTTTATTTTTACCCTTTTTGGGCTGCGTCTTTTGGATAGCGTTTAGTAGTATACGAATTATAAGCACATTTTCAATGACGTGTATTAAAGAGGCACCTTTTATTTGTATTAATCACATTTGATAGACAATTTGGTGCCTGCAGTTCTCTGTAACTTGTGTCTCACTTTGGGTGTATAAATTGTTAACCCGTTCAAACTTATCCAATATGGCTACATAAAAAAAAAAAAAAAAAAAAAAGATGCTTAGGGTAGAAAACTAGCAGCTTAATCACAGTACACTTATTCCACTGTAAGTGCCCTCGTCCGTCTCAGCTGCAGGGTTCTTTGCTTTCCGAAGCTGAAACTTGAGCATGACCAGCCGTTTTTTCTCGGGAGCAAAGGCAGTTGTGCATGGCATCCTCCCGCTCTCCCCCGTGCATGCCCTCACTAACTATGCAAGCGTCCGGGGCGAGCCGCGGGCCGTGCTCGGCGTGGGAGCTGCCGGCAGGCTCCGGGGCGCTGCCCTCAGCCGCCGCGTCGGGGCACGTCCCTGGGCTCCTGCTTTGTTTGCACATCTTTGATTCTTTCCTTTGCAGGATTCTGCATTACTGACAAGGCTGGAGTGTAGCGTAACGTCAGAGGGATCTGAAATGTTGAAATGAGAACAAACTGGTTTTCTGTATTGTATTGTTTTTTTTCTTTCTTTCAACAGGGAAAACCTGATCAGTGTTCTGTATGTAGCCTGGCATTTTCCATGTAACTTTAATGATGTGTTCTACGCGGTGAGAAGAGGCAGTCACCTGTAGCTGTACGAGCACTCAGAAAAAGAGGTTTTTGTTGAATTTCCGTGCTAAGGCAGCAGTTTCCAGTGGTCAGCGTGCCGCCCGTACCGGTAGCGGGGCTTCTGCCTGCCGTCCCGGGAGGAGCCGCGCTTCCCCTCCGGGCCGCAGGACCGCGGCGCGTGAGCCGAGCTCCCGTGGGGCAGGGCCGTGGGGCAGGGCCGTGGGGCCCATGGGGCAGGGCCGTGGGGCAGGGCCGTGGGGCAGGCCGGCCAGGTCTCGGTCTCGAGCAGCACGCTTGAGGTGCGGGACCCCCCTGTGCCCCCCGGCAGCAGCGGTGAGTGGCCGGGCGTCGGGCAGGTTCTGTGCCCGTCCCCCCATGGTCGGCCGGCACGGAGGGGTTTGGAAACTACATTCCAAATAATTTTACCTTTTTTTTGTTTCTATCTTTTGTCATTTGCCTACTAATCCAAAATAATTTGGCAGTATCTAATGTTATCTGAGGAGGGAACTGAAATTTAGTTTTAATCTGTGGTGAGATGAAAGTACTACACGGTTTTCTTAATAAAAGCACCATAAAGCATTTACTATTAGGAGCTTTATTTTGTAAAATAAAAGTACCTGAAGGCTTGTACGATATCTATATTAGGTCTACAGGTTTAGGGAGTCTTCTGTTTTTTTAAAGGCGATAGCACTCAATTTATCTGCAAATAGTGTTTTTTAAAAGACACAGATTAAAACTAAGTGTAAACACAAATTCTGTTTCACTCTAGGCCCTGCAGCACAAACGCGTTGCAAGAAAGTTAGCGTTAGGCTTGTGTGGCATTTGTGCAGTGCAATAAGAAACCATTTTTAGGTGCTACATTGCCTTGGGTAGGGTGACGCAAGGGAATACAGGCTACAAGTGGCTAGATTATTTTCTTGTGGCCTTCCAAGTATTAATTTGTACAGATTTGCTCACCAACTGTGCCTCACCATTGGTTAAAATTGAATTTTAAGTCCTGTTGCAAATGCAGTTTCTCTTCTGGACACAATGTCAGATTTTACACTGGAATATCTACAGTTCTAAAAACTGCATGTCACATCACTGTACACTGATACTGGGACGTGGGGCTTGCCCACACCTTTGATATTCTCTTCTGTATTTTAATGTTTTTGAACTGTACAGTAATCTGGAAGGCAGGCTGTCTTTACTTGGGATTGAACATTGTACCATAAATTTTAAATTATTTGAGGACAAGTGCATGAGACTGTGTCAATGCCTTTTATTATTTATTTGTATGTTTTATTATTCAAGGTGTATGCACTTTTAATATGCAGAATTTATATTTTTATGTTAAAAATCATTTTCTTTCAGAAAGAAGAGTTTGAATATGAGGAATTGGAATTAAGTGCAAAAAGGGGACTATGTAATAAAATACAATAAATTTATTACTAGGCCTCCTGCCTGAGTGAGCGTTTTTCCAGGCCCGCATCCTCGCCCCTGGCTCCCTCCAGCCCGCTGCTGGGCGCCCCGGGGGGCTCTCCGGGGGACCCCCCTCCCTTCCCCTGGGTTTGTCTCTGCCCGGGCAGCCGCGGGTGCTGCGTGCCCCAGGGGAGGGTCTCTCGGGGTGGGTGCCGGGGGGGCTCCAGGGCCGGCTCCAACCGCGCAGCCGCTCCCCCCGCGTCCGCTCCTCTCGGGAATCAGACGCCCCGCGGCCCCTGTTCGGGCCCAGACTGGGGAGGGGGGGACACAAGCTCCTACCTGCCCCCTCGGCGGCGCGGGGGGAGCCCCTGGACGGAGCCGTGGTGCCGCCGAGTTCGGTCCGTGAGCCCCAGGGGTGGGGGGGTGCGGTCTGGCCCCTCCTTGGGGGGATCCCCCGTCCCCCCCCTCCGGCCGTGCCTCTGGGCTCGGCCTCCCTGGTCCTGCCCTGCACAAAGCTCAGCCTTTTGCCGCTCCTTTCGGGCCGCGGGGCTCTGGTCAGGGCTCCCGTCCCCGTGTCCCCGGGGTGGGAGGCTCGGGGGGAGCGTCCCCGTGTCCCCGCTGGCGCTGCCCCGGCTCCCGCCTGCTGCTCAGCCCCCGGCCGCCCCGGGGTGCAGCGCTCGGCTCCTGCCTGAGGGTTGGCCCGACATCGGCCTCTGTCAATGGTCCTTCGTTGCACTAAGGCTTAAAGTGTGCAGGGGTGGTAGTAACGGAGTGTGTAATTGTGTGCCCCTACGGCTCTGTCCTAATTAAACACTGTTTTCATTTCGCAGGGGCTGCAGCAGCGGCTCCCCGGCGGTGGCGATGCGGCTGGGCCGCTCCTGCTGCCTCCTCGCCTGGGCGCAGCGAGGAGGATGAGGATGGAGCGAGGCGGGAGGAGGACGGGCGGCTGCTGCCGAGGGGAGGAACCACGGGGGACACGGGGGGCTGGGTGAGCTGCTCCAGCGTGGCTGCGGGGGGCTGGGCGGCCCCCCCCCCCGGGCTGCTGGGCTGCCGGCGCGGCGCGCCGTGGGGCCAGTGGGCTGCCGAACGCCTCAGCAGGCCAGCGTGTGCCCTCGTGTGCCCTCTCGGCCGGGGGGCAGGAAGGAAAAACGGGAGGTGACCGGGGGCATTTCCACTGGGGGCTCTGATCCTCCTGCTTGAGCGAGCCGTCGGGTCGGCGTAGCCGGGGCTGGTGCTCGTGCTGCGCAAACTTGCCTTTAAATGCAATTTGTGAGTCCTGAGGGTTTTTTCTTCTCCCTCTCCTTTCTCCTCCTCCCTCCTGCGTGCATGTTTTTGTCTTCCCGCTCTTGGAGACGCAGCATCATCTACGTGCCCGAATACACCCGAGGCAAGGCAGCGCGCTCCCGTCCCCGGCCGTGGGGCTCTCGCGTGGGCTTCCAGAGAGGGGATTTGCGCTGTGGGCTCTTGTCGTGGGGTCGTGGCTGGCTGCTGGTATTTAGTGGTCACCTCGGCTCTATTGCTACAGCAGTTTTGTTCAGCTGTGCAGGGCGCGGGGTGGGAAGGCCGGGCATTTCCCCCTCACTGGATTTGTTCGCAAGCTGCTGCTGGCGGGGCTGAGCCGCTGCGGGAGTCAGCAAGGCCAGAGCGGGTGGGGGTAAGGTGGAGGAGCTTCTGCTTTCTTCTGGCCGGTTCTGGGGCGAGGCGGTTCTGCCATACACTCCTGGCGGGAAGAAGAGCCTCGGCCCAGCCTCCTCGTGCCTGCAATAGCTGCTTTTTCCTGCTGCCTTCCTGTCCCAGGGCTGTAGCCTGCTGTCACCCCCCCAGCCCTGGCACGGCTGCACCGCGGTGCGCTGGTGGCACCCGGCTCAGCGGGGCCGGGCGGAGCTGCCGCCCTCGCGAACGGAGCCGGCGGGACCGTGGCCCCGGGCTCGTCCCTGCCCGGCTGAGCCGGGAGCCCAGCAGCCGCCCTGATCGCGGGGCTCCAGCTGAAGCCAAAATGCCGCGGATGAGGGCCCCCCCGGCCCCCCCCCCCCGAGCCTGCTGCTTAAACCACCGCGCTGGCGGCTGTGCTTGCCGCCGTCTGCCAGCAGCCAGTGCTAGAGGCACGGCCCAGCGCCCGGAGCCGCGGCCCGGGGGGGGCCCCGGCGGCACGTCCCGGGCTGTGGGGGCTCTGCCGGGGCGGGGGGGGGGCAGGCAGCGCCTGGAGGGAGGGGAGCTGGGGGCCGCGGTTCTGGGGTTCCTGGGGGGCTGTTGCAGCTGGCTCCGCTCCCCGCGGCAGCCTCCGCTCCCCCGGCTGGTGCGTCTCCCTCCCGGGACGGGGGGCACACGCCGCTCCCCCCCACCCGCTGGGGCCCGCTGCCCAGCCCGAGCCCGGTGACCCCAGCAGAGAGCACATCAGCTCTTCCCGGGGCAGGACCGGTCCCCGTTTGCCAGCCCTCCGGGGCCGTGGGGCCGGGGGCTGTGGCCGGGCTCCGGGCTCCACATCAGCTCTTCCCGGGGCAGGACCGGTCCCCGTTTGCCAGCCCTCCGGGGCCGTGGGGCCGGGGGCTGTGGCTGGGCTCCGGGCTCCACATCAGCTCTTCCCGGGGCAGGACCGGTCCCCGTTTGCCAGCCCTCCGGGGCCGTGGGGCCGGGGGCTGTGGCCGGGCTCCGGGCTCCGTCTCGCCGGTCCAGCGGCCGGAGGGCAGGGCGGCGTGGGCAGGCTGCCGCCGGCGCGGCGCTGGGGGGCTGGGGCAGCGCTCAGCTTTGCGGTGACGGGCTGGGTGTCAGCGTGTGACACGCAGCTCCACAGCGGGGGCACCCCCGCGCCCGCGGGGCTCGCCCCTGAGCCCCGCCTTGGTCCCCAGATCACGCGTGTGTGCGGCCGGCTCTCGCTGGTCGCCCGCCGCCCAGCTGCAGTCGCCAAATGCTGAGGTTGGCTTGTTTGCCAAACGCCGTGCCGTTTGCCCCTCGCCCCAGCGTGTCCCTGCCCCTCGAGGGGACGCGGGGGCACCGCCAGCCCGGCTTTGGGCCGCGGCTGTGTCCGTCCCGCAGGGAGCGGGGAGCCGGGGCCGAGCCCCCAGCACCCACGGGTGTTGGGTGGAGGAGCTGGCGGCTCCGCCGGGCGGTCACGGCATACGATTCCCATCCCTTTATTGCACAACTGAGAGAGTAATTACTTCACGTCTTGTATGGAAATGGGGATGACAGATGTCATATTAAATCATAGGGTCATCACTTATTTATAGGTGATTACATTAAAGAGATATTAATATAGCCAAAGGCTTCACAGAATTAGAGTTAATATATTTTTGTTTATTATATTTGCCAATATTTCTCCAATCCAGCCGCGTTTTTATGGCCACTTATTAAATAGAGAGCCCGCCGCAGTTCCCTTAACCTAGCTGGGAGGGTGGTGAGAGGACAATTGGAAAACACTTGGGAACTTTGATCTTCGAGTGATTAAATTTTATTGCCTCCCTGTTTACGAGGGTCCGAGGGCAGGTGCTTCGTGCGCTGTGAAATGAAGCGAGGGCAGGTTCGGACTCGAGCGGTTATTAAATCTGGGTCAGCAGGGGAGGCTGTCTGGGCACAGGGCTGGGGCTCGCAGATGTTGGGGCCCTCGGCTGGGATTACCGCCGTGCTAAACCAGGATTAGATTACGAGGCGCAGGGTTGTGACACCCCGGGGAGCGCTGAGGGGGGGGACAGGCTTCCCGCCTTGTCCCCGCGCCCCGGGAGCCTGGTATGGGGCTGGCCAGGTACCCGTCCCGCGGGGCTGCAGCTCGCCTGCCCCTGGCTTGGGGGGCACCAGTGGGACCCCCAGCCGATGGGCGACCCGGAGCAGCTCAGCAAGCTGCGTGTGCGGCTGGAGGCGCCATCCCACGGTGTCCCCATCCCACGGTGTCCCCATCCCAGTGTCCCCCATCCCAGTGTCCCCATCCCACGGTGTCCCCATCCCACGGTGTCCCCATCCCAGTGTCCCCATCCCAGTGTCCCCATCCCACAGTGTCCCCATCCCACTGTGTCCCCATCCCAGTGTCCCCATCCCACAGTGTCCCCATCCCATGGTGTCCCCATCCCAGTGTCCCCATCCCACGGTGTCCCCATCCCAGTGTCCCCCATCCCAGTGTCCCCATCCCACAGTGTCCCCATCCCGGTGTCCCCATCCCACGGTGTCCCTATCCCACGGTGTCCCCATCCCAGTGTCCCCATCCCACAGTGTCCCCATCCCACGGTGTCCCCATCCCAGTGTCCCCATCCCGGTGTCCCCATCCCACAGTGTCCCCATCCCACGGTGTCCCCATCCCATGGTGTCCCCATCCCAGTGTCCCCATCCCACGGTGTCCCCATCCCATGGTGTCCCCATCCCAGTGTCCCCATCCCACGGTGTCCCCATCCCACAGTGTCCCCATCCCACGGTGTCCCCATCCCACAGTGTCCCCATCCCACAGTGTCCCCATCCCACGGTGTCCCCATCCCATGGTGTCCCCATCCCACGGTGGCCCCATCCCAGTGTCCCCATCCCACAGTGTCCCCATCCCACGGTGTCCCCATCCCAGTGTCCCCATCCCGGTGTCCCCATCCCACAGTGTCCCCATCCCACGGTGTCCCCATCCCACAGTGTCCCCATCCCACGGTGTCCCCATCCCATGGTGTCCCCATCCCACGGTGTCCCCATCCCAGTGTCCCCATCCCGGTGTCCCCATCCCATGGTGTCCCCATCCCAGTGTCCCCATCCCACAGTGTCCCCATCCCACGGTGGCCCCAGGGTTTGGGGGGTCGGTGTGTGAGGAGCTGCCCACTCCCTGCCCGCAGGCAGCTGGTCTCTGCGCGGATATTTATTAGCACTGGGCTGCCTCCGAGAGCCAGAACAAAACCCAATCTTTGGAGGCTGTCAATAAATTATAACATATTAGGCACTGTCATCTGTACCCCTGGACTCTTAAATTTTGTTCTAATTAGAGTATCGCTTTTCCTTCCTCAGCACTTTTTCCCCTCTGCTGGGTATCGATCCTTTCTCTGTGGGGATCTGACCAACTGTTGACAATTTATGG